TTTTGTCGAACCGGACGTCGAATTGTGTCCGACATATTCGGCACTTCACGTCGTTATGCATTTGAATCCATTGCGAGAGACATTTGAAGTGCACGTAAGCAATGGTTCCGCTGCAGACACACGGCTTGATTAGTCTATCGTTTTCGTCCTCTTCACCACAGATACGACATTCTTTGACCTCTTCAGTGGCGACCACTTCGTCGACCTCTACATCCACTTTATCCATAGCTTCTTCGTAGACGTCTTCTTCTTCATTGACCTCTTTGTGAACTCTTTCTTCTGAGATATCCATAACAAGATTGCCGTCAATTTCAACGTAAATTGTTTTACAAATGTTTTATAAAAGTTTAAAAATAGTTTTATTGTTAAAAACTTTAATCAATTGTTGTATTTATAAAATATAAGAAATTAGTTATTTTGCATTGTTTTCCAATCCATTGTTTGATTGATATAATGAGTTAATTCTCTCCAAGTCTAAGAACTCCAATGCATTCATTCGTATGGATTCGTATCGATATTCTTCGTAAGTGTTTCTCTCGTAGTAATGGTTGGGTTCGCTCACAACCACTGATGGGATGTTTTGATTAGCCCTCTGCTGTCTGTTCTTCACCACATATTTCATAACCAAAAACACGATTAATCCGATAAATGAGGCGCCGATTAGAAACGAGACGAGCATTGAAATGACCACTAAATGTATTTTATACCAATTGATGGCTTGCGGTAATGGATTCGCCATTACATCCGATTTGTTTGTATTGATAAATTCAGTGTATTTGTGAAACTTCTTGTATTCACTTAAGTTATAGGCTTTAATTGAATATTTAAATAATTATTAATTTCAATATAAATTTAAGACTCGCATCGATCATACCGTCTGTGCCTTTCTTAAGACACTTGGGTTGAGAACCGCTCCAAAAGCCTTTAATACAGAATCTCTTATTATCGCCGAAGAGCTCAATGTCTGTCTCATTGCCGGAACGACACGAATAGATGGCTTTGGAACCGGTCTCGGCGTTTGGCGTTCCGTTCAAATAGTTTAAGTACTTGTACTCGACGTGAATGTAGTGATCGTTGGCGTCCATCGCCGGTAGAGCGCATAGAGAACGGGTATTTCTACTAAATTTAATTGAAATCAACTTTCATTAGAAAATTATGCATAAATTGGAAAACACTATTTGTTGTGTTTTATTAGAAAATTGATTACAAAATTCAATCAAAAGTTATATTAAAATCCAAATACTTTTGTCGGAAATCCCATTATATATGCACTGAAAGGGAAGCTCTAAATAAAAGGTTTCATTTCATAAGAGATTTGTCTCAAAGGAAGCGTCGCTTGGATTTTGTTATTTTAAAATCTGATTTTACATAAAATGTTTCAAAATATTTATCTAAAGAGCACTTAAATGAATATTTAAGTATAAATCTGTAAATAATGTTAAACTTATTGTTGATTACAATAATAACACTTCGATTCTCAACAATACAAATGGACTGCGGATTCCCAGCCCTTCCGGAGTCGACAAAAATCAATATCTATAAGAAACGGTACGAAGAATACAATTTCATTCAATACGAGTGCGACTCTGAGGACAAACTTCTTGTGGGCAACTCTACTATGCGTTGCATTAATGGTAAATGGATTGGAAATCTTCCCCGATGTGGTAAAATACAAACATTTCACTATAAGTTATATAAACTGAATATTTATATTGTGTTAATTCTTTAGCACTTGAATCCAAGTCGAGTCCTAAGTCTCTAATAATACCCGATTATATGACCGGCAAAAAGCTTTATAGATTTTTTGGTCAATTTTTTAAGGGTTGTTATAAACCGGAATTCAGTTGGAATATCACTTCCAGTCAAAGAGTGTCCATTCAATTGCAAAACGAAGACCGTATCGATTATTTTGCGCTCATATTGTTTGCCAAGGATTTGATGACACACTTGTCGAGCGGCGATCTCGTGGTGAAGGCTCGCATCCATAAGTCCCGCAAACAGTGTTTCGTCGACACGTATGACACGATTGATGGCAATCCAAGCAAAACCAAAGTGTCGTTTAAGTGTCAATTCGTTGCCGACGAATACATACACTCGGACTTTGAGTCTCTGCGAACGGATCCCATCAAAATAATCTCATTTGACATTCAAACCAAACACAAACTCTTAGTGACGTTTTGCTCGTTTAAGTCCTATTCGTTCAGCGATTCGTGCGGTTCGACCGAAAAGCCGTTGCATTCAACTGAATTGAGTCGCGAGAAGTCGTTCACAATCTTCGGCTGCGACGAAGACTTTTATTTGGAACCGATTAACAGCCAGAAAGTGGTTTGCGATGCGTTCGGCAATTGGGACGCAAAGTTTCCCCGATGTTTGGCCCGTTCTCTATGCGCTCTACCGGCGATGGACGCCAACGATCACTACATTCACGTCGAGTACAAGTACTTAAACTATTTGAACGGAACGCCAAACGCCGAGACCGGTTCCAAAGCCATCTATTCGTGCCGTTCCGGCAATGAGACCGACATTGAGCTCTTCGGCGATAATAAGAGATTCTGTATTAAAGGCTTTTGGAGCGGTTCTCAACCCAAGTGTCTTAAGAAAGGCACAGACGGTATGATTGAAGCGAGTGTTAAATTTATAATATATTAAAATTTATAATTATTTAAATATTCAATTAAAGCCTATAACTTAAGTGAATACAAGAAGTTTCATAAATACAATGAATATATCAATACAAACAAATCGGATGTAATGGCGAATCCATTACCGCAAGCCATCAATTGGTATAAAATACATTTAGTGGTCATTTCAATGCTCGTCTCGTTTCTGATCGGCGCCTCATTTATCGGATTAATCGTGTTTTTGGTTATGAAATATGTGGTGAAAAACAGACAGCAGAGGGCTAACCAAAACATCCCATCAGTGGTTGTGAGCGAACCCAACCATTACTATGAGAGAAACACTTACGAAGAATATCGATACGAATCCATACGATTGAATACATCGGAGTTCCTAGAGTTGGAGAGAATTAACTCATTATATCAATCAAACAATGGATTGGAAAACAATGCAAAATAACTAATTTCTTATATTTTATAAATACTTTATAAATACAACAATTGATTAGAGTTTTTAACAATAAAACTATTTTAAAACTTTTATAAAAACATTTGTAAAACAATTTACGTTGAAATTGACGGCAATCTTGTTATGGATATCTCAGAAGAAAGAGTTCACAAAGAGGTCAATGAAGAAGAAGATGTCTACGAAGAAGCTATGGATAAAGTGGATGTAGAGGTCGCCGAAGTGAAAGCCACTGAAGAGGTGAAAGAATGTCGTATCTGTGGTGAAGAGGACGAAAACGATAGACTAATAAAGCCGTGTGTCTGCAGCGGAACCATTGCTTACGTGCACTTCAAATGTCTCTCGCAATGGATTCAAATGCATAACGACGTGAAGTGCCGAATATGTCGGACACAATTCGACGTCCGGTTCGACAAAATTGGCCACAATTTCGGTAAGTTCTTGAGAGCCGACGAGACCCACAGGGTGTCACTCCTGATGACCCTATTGTTCACTGGATTCACTGTCTTTATGGCCATCATATCCATGAAATACCTGGAGTCGGGCCATAAGGACTACGACAGACAGGTATTCATCTATCGGCTGCTCTACTCTTCCCTCGTGTTAATGAATTTCTGCATTTTTGCGCTTATGATTCAGTTTTGGCTCTCACTTCACAATTGCATCAAAGAGTGGCAGAAAAGACACTTTGATATCGTTTTAGTGCAGAATTGATGCACAAATATTTGACTCAAAATTTAGATCTTATTAAATGAGATGTAATCCAATCTTGGTTTTAGCGTTAATTTGTGAATGTTATTAGTTTTATCATTGATGTCCAGTTTATAAACAAAATTTAATCAAATATAAAGTACAATAACTTTGAATGAATGCTTTCGTCGAGTGGACAAAAATATCACATATTAGCAAAACAATTGATTATTAGTAAAATCTTATATTTTATAAATACAACAATCGATAAGAGTTTTTAAAGTGTAAAACAAAAAATTTAAAAATCTTGTAAAAGAAGTTATAATAATATTTTGCGTCCAAAAGAGAGCTTAATTGGCCAGTTATGGAGCGCTGGGAGGAAGAGAATGACGATATGGTACTCTTTGACGAAGAGATGAGAGAAGTGCTAAACAAAGTGATGGAAGGAAGACTCAAAGACGGCAACAGAAAAGTAGTCAAAAAGGAGACCAAAGAAGAAGAAGAGACCACCGATGGGGCCAAAGAGTGTCGTATATGCAAAGATGGGGACAACAGTGAGACCCTAATCAAGCCGTGCATCTGTAGGGGAACTATGGCTTACGTGCACTTCAAGTGTCTGTCAGAACTGGTCCGCAGCCAAAAGCATATGATGTGCCGAATATGTCGGACGCGATTCAACGTCCGGTTTAACAAAATTGGACACAATTTCTACAAATTCCTGAAAGACCGCGACTATCATCGCAAGGAATTTCTGCGGGCACTGATGTTCACCGGATTCGCTGTCATTGTGGCCATTGTATCGATGAAAGCGATGGGTTTTGGTCATCAGTACTTCGCGGGACAGACACCCATCTATTGGCTGCTCTACTCTACGGTTGTATTTATGATTGTCTGCAGTATTGCGCTTATGATTCAGTTTTGGCTCTCATTTCGCAATTGCTTTAAACGCTGGCAGAGAAGACATTTCGATATCTATTTAGTGCAAAATTAATGCATTAATATTGTGTCTCACATTTAAATGTGTAATAAATCGGTTTGAGTTCAAACTTAAATTTTAGCGCAAATACAAAATTGTCTATGAATTGTCTAATTGATGATCAATACAACAATCGACCAGAATTTTTAACACTAAAATTAAATTTAAATATTTTATTTATTTATAAAGGAGTGCAAAAATGTTTCACTTCGTGACCACTTAAACCTTATCACTGAAGACATGGACGACGACGACGACGACGATGAAGATATTGCGAACTTATTTGAAGAAGAGATGGGAGAGTTGTTTAAACACGTTAATGAAGTGGATGTCAACAATGGGGGCAAAGGAGGGGCTAAAGAACAGACAAAAGAGGAGGTCAATGGACTCAAAGAGTGTCGTATTTGCAAAGAAGACGACAAGAGTGAAGCATTGATGAGCCCGTGTGGCTGTCGGGGAACTATGGCTTACGTGCACTTGAAGTGTCTGTCAGAACTGGTCCGAAGGCAACGGCACACGAGATGCCAAATATGTAGAACTCTATTCAATGTGAGAGTTGACAAAATTGGACACAATTTTTTCAGATTCTTGATCGACAGTCAGAGGAATAGAATGGATGTAACGGTCGACCTATTGGTGAGTGGATTCGTTGTGTTGTTTGCAATAATATCGATGAAAATTGTGAGTTTTTCGCACCGATACTTTACGGGACAGGCGTTCATCTATGGTCTGCTCTGTTCGACGTTTGTATTCGTCAATTTATGCATTTTTGCGATCATTATTCAGATATGGTTTGCATTTCGTCATGAATTTAAAGAATGGCAAAAAAGAAATTATGATTACGTTTTAGTCCGCAATTGATTCACTGTTTTAGTCACAGATTGTTATAATAAATGAGTTTTACATAAAAATTTATTTGTAATAATTATATTCTAAAATCTATCAAAATATAATTGTGACAAAAGTTGTTTTGATATAAATAAGTGAATAAAACATTTAGTCAAAATAATTGACAATTACTTTAATGACTAAACATGTATGGTTTGAATCATTATAAATGTTTATAAATACAAATCAATAAAACAATTTAATAAAGTGTTAATTAATACACAAATGTATGAATGAANACAAATGTATGAATGAATGAAACGGTAATAATATCAGTATAATAGTATCAGTAGTTGGAAATGGATTTGACTTTAAACTTCTGTCCCTTAACCAGCGATTGGTAATACTTCTCTCCGGTGTCATCTTCGGTGGTGATGTCCTTTGGAGGGGGTTTGACCACAGGTTTGACCGCAGGCTTGGCCTCAATGCCCTTGTATTGGGAGACGGATCGCACGGGTTTCTTACCATCTGTTAGGAATTTATGATAGGAATCGCCGACACTATTGGGGTCTTTAGAAACAGCGGGAGTTTTATCCTTTTTGAGATCAACTGTTTTGGTCGGAACGGCCTTTTGAGAGGTTATACCGAAAGCGCATTCAATAACCAAAACTATCGGCAAATAAATGGCTACTAATATAACGATCGCCAGAATGACGGCTAACGCCCAAAACCACACGTATTTGTCTTCAATATCTTTGTCGTTATTCCACCGATTGATGGCATTATAGACACCAAATATACCAATAATTAGTCCACTGATGACCACAAAGATTAGGTAAATATTGCGCAAAATTGTGCCAAAACTATCGGCTTTGAGTGGAGATCGAGGTTTGATGAAAAACCTGAAGATTAGTATTAAGAAGAGGAATACAACGGACGCCACAAAACTGTTGACAAGCGCTGTGTAAGCGCTGGACAGCCACTGATTGTGATAGTCTTGACAGATGTGAACATTCGGTGTAATGTCTTTTGTCGGGCAAATGACTACAAAACCGCACAAAAGTAACATCAGATTAACGGCAAACCAAACAAATGCCGTCAATTCTTCGCAATCGATAACTTGCGGCGAAACGCCTAACCATACTATGGGTCGGTCCTCTCGAGTGGCCGCTGGAAACAATTGCTTAATCTCTAACTTATCGGTCGTCAGATTCTCAATGTATTGGTTGACAAAAGCGATGTTAGCTTTGGTGTCATTGGACTCCTGTATCTCAATGGTGTTGATATATATTGTGCCGACACTCGTGTGGTTAACCATTAGTCTCACAATTTGGGAGAGACTCGTTGACCGCAACAGTTGAAACTCAATGGTGTACTTATGGGCGCCCTTATCATTGATTGTCTCAAATTTGGCCATTATTTGGGGTGTGATTGTGAATGCGGAGAGTTTGACGTCGTTTTGGCCCAACACTTGCACATTGAGCCGAGCCGTCGACTTTTTGTACGCTTTCTTAGAGGCGCCGAAGTTTACGCGAATTATATACACATATTTAGCCGTAGATTCTTTACAATTATCGTAAATCTTTTCCATTGGCTTTATTTTATGAAAACACAGAAAGATGACCATGGTGATTGCTATAAATGTGACCCAAATCACAGATATCACTGTTAGGGGCACTGAATATGCGATTGACATAATAGAG